AAAAGAGGGACATCTGGACATTCATATGTCCTGATATGATGCCAAAATAACGAACCTGAATCTGATTAAGCCTCTGATGTAACCACCAGTTTCCAAGAAATGCAGAGGCCAGAGGAGTTATTAAACAAAACTATGAGACAGCCATCAGCCAAGGCCAGAGGTAGAAAATTCTCTAAAAGAACTGACCCTAATTCCTCAGGAAATAAGAGGCACACAACCAAAAAAAGGAAGGAAAACTTTTATAAGTGCAAAGACATTTAAGAGCATGTTGGCCAAATCTAACAGGTGGATATTGTTTGGAATTCTGATTTGAATAAACCAGCCATAGAAATGCTTTTTTCCGGACAATCAGGGAAAATTGAGCATGGTCTGGATATTAAATGATATCATTGTTGGCGGTGTTGGGTGGCATAGTGGTAATGTAGCTGGGTGTGTGGTTTTTAAGTCCATATGTGAGAGATACATACTGACATGTTTAGGAGTAAAAAGATAGGATGTCTGGAAGTTGCTTCAAATTATGTAAGTTCTCCACTTTATTTTTTATTTTTTTTAATGTTTATTTTTCAGAGAGAGAGAGTGCGAGCAGGAGAGGGGCAGAGAGAGGGGGAGACACAGAATCCGAAGCAGGCTCCAGGCTCTGAGCTGTCAGCACAAGAGCCCGACGCAGGGCTTGAACTCACGGACCGCGAGGTCATGACCTGAGCTGAAGTCGGATGCTTAACCGACTAAGCCACCCAGGCGCCCCTAGGTGCCCACTTTAAAGGAGTGGGATCACAAGTCCTTAATTTTCTAATTGTGCGCTGCACATAGTGACTTCCTTCCAAAGAGTCCAGTACAGAAAGGGGGAATATGGGTAACCCAACAGTGGAGAAACCTCACGATCACCACTTCAGCGGGCAATCGAGGCCAACATCAATAATAAATCACGTTGATGGCACATACACTTAATACACTGTAATGGGAGTGGCACTTCACCTCTGGGGTTTTTCCCCAAACCCATAACCCCCGTCTAATCATGAGATACACAGTAGACAAATTCCAACGGGGTGGGGGGGGGTGCATCTTACAATACAGCTGGCCAGTACTTCTCAAAACTGTCAAGGTCATCAAAAACAACGGGGAGTCTGAAGAGTGAACTGTTGCTCTCCTCACAACACCTCTGACACCAAATATGTGGATTTTCCACACCAAGCAATTCGCCAATTTTCTACAGACACCGACTGAGTGTCCTTCGGCTTAATTCAATTGTGATACTGATGACCCAGAGTTGACACGGATGCCATGGGTGAAGGGCTCAGCCCCACAGAACTTCCCCCACCACAGACACCAATCACAAGGAGTGGGTGTCCCGGTTACCCACACTTCGCCGTGACTGGGCTGCAAACTGAAGTTTCCCACTCTGTTCTCCTCAGATTTGATACTTCGCTGGAACAACTCACAGCACTTGGGAAAACACATCTACTGGTGGCATCAGAAAGGATATTATAAAGGGTACAGAGGAACAGCCAGTTGAAGAGGACCAGAGGACGAAGTCCAGAAGAGTCCTGAAGCAAAGGTACATCGCTCCCTGCCATATGGACATCCCAGGACATGGATGTGTTTACTGACCTAGAAGCTCTCTGAACTCCATCGTTTAGGGATTTTTATGGACGCTTTAGCAGGTAGGCACTATCAAGTATTTAAGTCAATCTCCAGCCCCTCTCCTTGCCCCAGAGGATGGGGGTAGGGTGGGACTGAGAGCTGCTACCTTCCCATCTTGCCTCGGTCTTTCTGGCAAGAAAGACCGTATTTGTCAACCACAGCCATCCGGTTAGCATACAAAGACACCCATCACTCAGGAGGTCCCAAGGGTCTTAAAGGTCTTGTGTCAGGAACCATGGACAAGGACTAAATATTTTAGCAGAAGGTGCTCCTATCACTCAGAAAAGTGGGGGGGTTTTAGGAGCTTGGTTTCAGGACCCAGGGACAAGATCAAAGACGTATATCTTATCATATCACATTATCACAGTACAATGCCCTTAATACGGCATGATGAAGATAGCCCTTTACTTCTGTGATCCTCCTTCCCCAAACCCATAACCCCAATCTAATCATGAGAAAAACGGTAGACAAATCCCCAGAGCAGGAAACCTACAATATACCCGATAAGCCCCTCCTCAAAACTCTTAAGATCATCAGAATCAAGGAAAGTCTGTGAAACTATCACAACCCAGAAGGGCTCCCCAAACCTGACAGCTAAGCATAATGTGGTCTCCTGCAAGGGATCCTGAACAGGCAAAGGTCACTGATGAAAAACTAAGGCAGTCTGATCACGTATGGACTCGATTTAATAACAACATATCAGCATTGGTTTGTTACTTGTAACAAACGTACCATACTAATGTAAGATGCTAATAGTAGGAGAAACTGGGTATGGGATGGAGTTTAGGGGAATCCGTGGTAGTACCTGCTCAAATTTTCTGTAAACCTAAAACTCTGCTGAAAAGTGAACTCTTAATTAAAATGTTTTGAGGAAAGAAGTGTTTGGAAACTCTACAGGAGGGAAGACGAACAAGAATGGCAGGATGTTAGAGGCGCCTGGGTGGCTCGGTCAGTTAAGCGTCTGACATCAGCTCAGGTCATGAGCTCACAGTCTGTGAGTTCGAGCCCCGCATCGGGCTCTGTGCTGACAGCTCGGAGCCTGGAGGCTGCTTCGGATTCTGCGTCTCCCTCTCTCTCTGCCCTGCCCCCATTCACACTCTGTCTCCCTCTCTCTCACAAAAGTAAATAAACATTTTAAAAAATTAAAAAAGAATGGTGAATGTTGGTGAATCTCGTAGCTTGGCAATGGACACGTGGGGGTTCTTGGTGCTATTCTGCTTTCGTATAGATTTGAAAGTTTCCGAAATCAGAAGTTATCTCTGATGAATACGGAGAGCCTCCCCTGTCCTCCAGGTGGGTCGGGGTATCATGCTAGTGGGAACTATCACCCTCACGAAGAGCCAGAACTGGCTGCGGGGACACGTGGCCCGCACCACCCATGTCACCAGTATTACCTCTGCCTCTGGGCACTCGATCTTAGTGCAACTGCCCCAGCCCTGTGGCCACAGAGAATATCCTTGTCCCCTCTCTCTTCATGTCACCAGCTTGAGTACAACCTGGGACGGGTATATCTAACGGGTCAAACCTTGTTCACGTATCTCAAGGGCGGCTGGGATTACGGGTTACCGGCCTCTGTGGTGGGCAGTGGGTTCCCCTGCAAGCAACATTCCCCATGGCAGGAGTTCGCTGAGCAGAGGGAGGGGTCCACTGCTGGGGCCCACACGTTCCCTCGCGGCCTCACTACACTGGGCTGGGACAGCCGGGTGCTTCTCTGTCTGGTCCATCCTCGCGTCCTCTGAGCTTAACACCAAGCCTGGTTCCTGAGAGGCAGCCGTTCAAAAGTGAGTGAATGAGAAGACGTGGTTGTAGGAACGTTCTTGCCTCTTAGGGAGAAGGGGATAAGATCCCAGGGTCGTGAAGCCAGCATTCTAGCCCACCCTGCATCCTACTGGCTGTGTGCTTGGCAGGGAATCACTCTTCCTCTCCCACCCTCCCTGCCTTCCCTCTGCAATGAGGGAGGTGGACCAGATGGCCCTGTTGCTCGTCCATTTCTTCAGCCTACGTCAAGGACACTGTCTGGACAAAGAGTCCAGTCCAGCAGGTCCTACTGGCGGGAAGGCTGGCTCACAGCTGACCTGGTGACTCCCTGTGAGGACCAGCCCTCTTTACTGCTGAGAGGGGAGGCAGGCGTCTGCCACAGACTGGCCATGTGGCCTTCAGAAGGGTCTTGAAGACACCGAGGACTCTTTCCCCCTCTCAGTTTCCCCATCTGTAAGATGCGGGTGTGCTGGTAACCAATCCCCAAGGGCTTTCGTTGCTCGGGGATTCTGTCGTGGCTAAGCCCACCTCCGAAGGCCTCAGTCACAGGTGTCCCGGCTCAGGGACACACATCTGGAAGAAAGCCCTGGAGGAAGAGCCAGGTCACGGGATTGTTTGCTCAGGACCTAGGGTCTGAGGCCGGCCCTTCCTGACGCAGAGACTGGCTCTGTGGGAACGCAGGAGAGCCGGAGCGGATGACACATGCTGTCTCTCCAGAGGGAGGGAGTCTCTGAGAGAGGAGCGAATCCGGGAACATAAATCAAATGAGGTGTAAAATTGTTCCGAGCCACGCTTCGTAAAGCTGCTGCAACATGTCGTTAATAGCAGCCCCAGAGCTGGGGACACACGGGCGGGCACCTGGCGGGCGGGTGGGGTGGCAATTAGTCCAGGAGTGATGATGGGGGCTCACCGCTCACGCGGGGGTGCTGTTGACCCACCTGGCCCTCATTCCTTCTCTGGCGGGACCTGAAGCACGGGGCTGAGGGCCAGACACCCACAGCCTGCCGGTCCTTACTGGCCCCTCCTTCTGGAATTCTCCTCTGAGGATCTCACTGTGGGCATCTTAAAGGCAGGAAGGGACCTGAGGTCACCCCACCTGCAGCTCAATTTTTGGAGGGGGCTGAGGCCCCAAGAAGGATGATCGGCAAGCCATTGACCGTCCTGGACACAACCACGGCCAAGGTGCCCACCTTGTCTGCTAGGCCAAGGTCAGCAGGCTGCTGGTCCTTGCCTGCGGTCAGACCTCTCGGCCAGCAGGACAGGAAGCCCGCTCAGGTGATTTGGGACCCGTCAGTGGCCCTCAGACCTAGATTTCCGGGTGGAGCCGCTTTGGCCAAGTGAAGTGATCAAAAGAGATAACAAGCTACCCTCTATTCTCAGCATGGTGTAGTCATACTAACCACAGACAATTACGACCAGCATAATCTCTCCCCTAAGATCCAGCGCTTTGTCCAACTTTCCCCACTTCGCCGTGAGCTGTGAAGACTCTACTGGCAGCAGCAGAGGTGGGGGTTTGCCCAGGGACCGAGGACTGGCCATCGCCGTGGGACACACTCACTGCCCAGGCTCCCTGAGTAGGGCCTTCTGGAAAGAGGTGCGTATTAGCTTTGTAGCTCCACACACCTTCTATCCCGCATTGTAGCTTCACCTGCAACTCTAACAAAACTCAACTTGGACAGCCTCCCTCCCAGCTGAACTGTATTTCCGGATTTCTGGGAATCTGAGCCACCGTTAAAGGGCCTGTTTTTCAGGGGTGGGTGGTTTGGGCCCCAGGGGCTGCCTTCTCTGTGTAATGAGGATAGTGGTGTTAGCAAGACAACCTTCTTACATAGTTTTTGCAGGCGGGGTTCCCCGAAAGCAGTTGGGGGTGAAGTTTGGGGTGCAAGGTGTTACGAGGGGTCAACACGTGTGAGAGGAAAGAGGGGGGGAGGAGGTAGGGGGCAGAGAGAGACCTCGATGCAGGTCTGATGGTACAGGCCCAACCAGTGCCCAACAGTGTCCCTTGTGGACCCAAATGGCTGGGTCTTTGTGCCCCCTGCTGTCTCATCCCCTGGCTGCAGGCTGCCCTGGGGAGGGCACGACCTCGGGCGAGGTGGCTATCTGCAGCCGATCCCGGCTACAGGGGCTGAGATCTGGAGGCCATGTGACCACTGACCACACTTCCGGCAGCATCCCGGACAGAGAAGTGGGCTGTCATCTCCGTGTTCCCCAGAATTGGCAATTTGCACAACACTTTCACATTCTGGATTCTTACAACCACCTTGGGGCGCAGGCAGAGCAGAGGTACTTACCCCACTTTATATCTGGGCAAACTGAAGCCACACATCAAGTAAGACGGTGCTGAACAGGTACTCTACCAGCGTCCTCAGTCATCTTCTAGGGCCTCTATGACAAAAAGCAAGGGCTCAGTGATAACAATAATCACTATTATAAATGTTAACAGTATTGTTGATTCACCAGTAAGTGAACAGCTAGACCCTGTAGCGTGAACTTTGCACATCAGTTCATTTAAACTCCCAACAATCCTACGAGCTGACTTCAAGTATTATCCCCATTTTGTGGACGAGTAAACTGAGGCTCAGAGAGGTGAAGACTCTTAGCCAAGGTTGCTCAGCTAGTAAGGCAGGGTCACAGACTCAGATCCAAGTCTGCCTGGCTCCACGGCCCGCAGGACCCCATGCTCTTAAACACCATGGCTGATCGGAGCCCCCAGACCCTCAGGGGGGCTTCGAGAGGGCTCAGGCTGGTGCTCCGGCTGTGGGCAGGATGGATGGAAAAGCCCTAAAGACAGGCCCCACTTCCTGAGGGAGGTAGTGCTCTGGTCTGGGGGCCGGAGGCTCTTTTTGTCCTGGCTGTGTGGCCCAGAGCCAGCCCCTTCCGCTCAAGGCCTCTGGGAAGAGGAGGGTCTGGCCTATGTGCATTCTGAAGGATCTTCCCAAGAACTTTTTTGTTTAATTTTTTTAATGTTTATTTATGTTTGAGAGAGAGAGAGAAAGTAGGGGAGGGTCAGAGAGAAAGGGAGACACAGAACTCAAAACAGGCTCCAGGCTCCATGCTGTCGGCACAGAGCCCGATGCGGGGCTCGAGCTCACAAACTGTGAGATCATGACTTGAGCTGAAGTCGGACGCTCAACCGACTGAGCCACCCCGGTGCCACTGCAGAGAATTTCTGACCAGCTGGGTTTCTACTTTGGACTCATATCTGGAGTCACCTGTGGCTTCCTCGACCTGCTTCTGTGGGAACCCTCCAGGGTACCCCAGCCCCTCTCTCCTCCCAGCTCCCTGTCTGTAGATGGGCCTGGACTGTGTAGATCACCTCTGGCCCCAAACAGTGGCAGGTCGTTCTCTGTCCTGTGCCGTCACACTTGTCCACAAGGCACAACTGGCCCTGGGTTTGGCCAACACCACCTCATCCTGGGCCCTGGGTGAGCCCTTTGGCCTGGGAAGATACCACGGAGACTCCTGGAGAGACAAAGCTGGGGAGGGAGGGGGAAAGAGGAGACAGCAAGGGGGACGCAGGGAGCAGGATGTACGTTGCAGGGGGGTGGGGGCACGGAGGGCCGCAGGGGCTCCACATTGCACAGGGAACCCTCTCCAAGAAACTTCATGCTCCAGCAAGAACTCATACAATCAAAGATGTGCTTCCATATGCAATCATTTACCCAGAACAAGTGATGAAAACTTCCCTCCCATTAATCATTGAGCAAGAGGCTAACTGATTTACAGCCATGTGGCCTACGCAACACTCCGGAGGGTTATACGTGGTGTGAGCACGGCTATGACATCATAGGCTCCAGCGTGGCATGCAAGGCCCTCCCCAGGCAGGGCCAGGCCTGGCTCCCGCTACCCCCACCGGCCTACTCCACACTTCCTCATCGTATGCCACTGCTCCCCGATCTCCGAGATGTTCTCGGAGCTGCTCCTGTGAAACCAGAGCCGGGGTTTATCGCCATTCCGGATAGGTTTCGGCTGTTTCACACCAGTCACAACAGGCTCAGACCACTTCTAACCAGTCCAAGCTAGGTCTGGCTCATTCTGATTCTAACCAGGTCAGGATAAAACCTGGTTCTAACATGATCTGATTGGATCACACTCCTTCAGGACTCGTCAAACAGATTCCGACTAAATCTAACTGGATCAAACGAGTTCTACCCGGATCAAAGCAATGCTGACTGGTTTCAGGGAGTCCAGTCTGGTTCCAACGTGGCCTGTGTCTTCCACTCTGAGACAGTGGTCATTGAACCCTTCCTTGGCCTCCTCTGGGCCCTAGTGATCGTTCTTGAAGAAAAAGAGGGATGGTTCTGTTTGGTTCTGAGGAAATCTAAAGGAGTTTGTTATTTTAGTAATAACTCCATTCACAGTTTCCTGAGTGACTTTGCACGCGCTGGTTTGACCCCCACAAGAAGTGTCTGAGCCAGGGGCTCATATCCCGTGTCCAGCAGATTTTTAGAGGGGGTAAGAGGTGGGGTCCGCGATCCCAACCCTTCACTTGCCATCTTCGTGCCTTGGTTTCCCTGCTCTGAGCTCCATTTCCTCCCTTGGAAAATGGGAAGAGTAAAAGTGTCTGCTTCACTGCTGTGATGAAGATCGAGAAAAGAGAATCAATCTATGTGGAAGCACCCGGGGCAGTGTTATAACCCAGAGCAAGCACAAGAAATATTAGCTCTTTTTAAAAATTATGATTTAGGGGCGCCTGGGTGGCGCAGTCGGTTAAGCGTCCGACTTCAGCCAGGTCACGATCTCGCGGTCCGTGAGTTCGAGCCCCGCATCAGGCTCTGGGCTGATGGCTCAGAGCCTGGGGCCTGTTTCCGATTCTGTGTCTCCCTCTCTCTCTGCTCCTCCCCCGTTCATGCTCTGTCTCTCTCTGTCCCAAAAATAAATAAACGTTGAAAAAAAAATTTTTTAATTATGATTTGGGGACACCTGGATAGCTCAGTCGGTTGAGGCACCTGACTTTGGCTCAGGTCATGATCTCGTGGTTTGTGAGTTCGAGTGCCATGTCCGGCTCTGTGCTGACAGCTGGGGGGCTGGAGCCTGCTTCGGATTCTGTGTCTCCCTCTCTCTCTCTCTGCCCCTCCCCTGCTCACGCTGTCTCTCTCTTTCTCTCTCAAAAATAAACAAACGTTAACGTTTTTTTTAAGTAAAGAAAAATAAAAATAATGATTTTGTTGTGACTGTACATTCGTCGCTGGCTGCCATCATGCAAATATGGGAAACGAGTGGGACTGGTCCAGGTTCTGTGTCACTTGAACCCTGACCATGCTGGGCCCTGACCGCCTGGCTTCCTCCCATAGAAGGTTCATAGGAAGTTGGAGACCTGATTACCACGGGTGCTCCCCACTCTCGCCTGCCAGGTGAGACCCAGGCTGTCCTGTGATGGGTTTTCCAACACTGTTCCTGGGAGCTGTCACTTCTAAATTGCTTTCTGACACCTGTCAGGGGGTTCTTTTTCACTGAGACTTCCAATGGTTGAGTGAACTCCCCTGGGACAGAGGAAATGGAGACAGCTTTCAAGCCACATTGGGCCAGAGCCCCCAAACCCTGTGTGGACAGTGGGCTCAGAGGGGGCTCTCCTTGGGCCGAGGACAGAGCCCTGAGCTGAAGATTTAGCTCCTGGGGAGTCCCTGCCCGCCCTCCAAGCCTCTGTCCACTGAGGGAGGACTAGATGAGGGGATGGGGTCTTCGGGGGACTCCCCAGGGGTATTTGGGCCTCTTGACCTGTTCTGACAGGGGTCTTGGTTGGCATGTGGAAGGTCCCTCACCCCAGGAAGGATCCAGCTCCTGTGGTTGGGCCTGGAACCCCTCCTCCCCCCTGCCCCATCCTTCTCTCTCAGAAACAAATTATACACACACCACTAAACACTCAAAAACTAACAATTTATATAAATTACAGTTTGTCGAGAGTTCACTGGGTTCCAAGCACTTTCCTGCAATTCTGTCATTTACTACCACGAGGACCCCACGAAAGGGGTGTTGTTATCCAGCCCGCACGCAGAGAAGGGAGGGCAGGCTTGAGTCCGCCTCTCTCTGACCCCCCCCCCCACGCTTTGCCCTTGACCCCGCTCTCCCCCACCAACTGCCCCTCTTGAGGCTCGCGGGGGCCTGAGTCGAGATGGAAACAGCCCACTGTGGCCCCTTGTGCCTTCGCTGGCTCCACCCCTGCAGGACAGGCTGTTGTCAGGGAGGCAGGTGCTGGGGACCTGGTATGGATGGGCGGTGGGTGCAGGGGCAGGACAGAGGCACAAGCAGATGGAGGTGGGGCAGGACAAGATGGGTGCAGCTCAGAACACCCCCCCCGAAATCCAGGGCTGGAAGAGGATCCAAGGCCACCCCCACAGCGGCGCTCAGCCACCTGGCCTCCACTTGCACACCTCTTCTGCCGAGAAGCTCACCACCCCCCCGTGGTAGCCCTTCCATGCAGCAACCTCCCTTCTTAGGAAAAGAGCCTGAAGGGACAGGATTCATCATGTGACCTTTCCACACCACACACATGCAGAGTGATGGGGGGGGGGTCATCTCATTTAAGTCCTACAACCGCCCCACGATATAAATGTTCTTTCTCACTCCATTTTTTTAGATTAAAAAAATAATTCCTTGTGGTAAAATACGCATGAAGTATAAGTCACCGTCCTAGCCATTTTTAAGTGCACCGCTCAGCAGTGTTGATATAGTCACGTGGTTGTGTGCCCAGAACCCTTTCATCTCGCAAAGCAAACCGCCAAAACCATCCTCCCCGCCTACTTTCTGTCCCCCTGGGTCCGACCACCCTAGGCACCCAGGTAAGTGGAATCCTACAGTTCTTGTCTTTTTGTGATTACTAGCTCCGTTTTAAGGCAAGGAAACTGAGGCTCAGAGAGACTAAGCCACTCACCTGCTGTCACCAGCTAGTCAGAGACCCAGCCAGGCTTTGAACTCACAGTCTCTTTCCCCATGGGCCCATGCAGTCCCTCTAACACAAGCCGTCCCTCCTCCAGCCATCCCAGCAGTCCCTACTCTGTTCCAGGTGGAACAGCTCAAGGCCTTTCAGTGTGAGGGCAGCCGTGGGGAAGCCCAGCCACCTGGGTCCACTCCCTAGAATTCAGCATGAACCTAATCAGCCAGGATCGGGGGCAGGGAGAGGGGAGGGTGCCAAAATCTTTCTCAGCTGCTCCCTCAGGGGAGGCCACACACAGGGTCAAACATTCCCTTCGGCTGAGTAAAGGGGAGTCTGGGAGTTGCACTGGGTGATGAGCTGAAGGTCCTGGGCACGCTGCAGCCGGGGTCTCTTGGGAACGCTGTGAAGAGTCTTTGAGAGCATTTGAGCAGAGAACTCCAGGAAGGGCGTGCTGATGAGCTCCCCCGACTTACTGGAGGTGGAGAGGAGACCATCACGGGGTCCCTCAGCG